GGAGGGGAAGGGGAGGGGAGGGGAAGACAAAGGTAGAGACTGGCATGATAATGGCCACAAGCCTAGAACACGTGGAGCCACCAGAAGCTGGAAGAGGCAAGGACTCTCCCCTAGAGCCCTTAGAGGGAGTGAGTGTGGCCCTGATGATACTTCAGACTCTAGCCTCCAAAACTGGGAGAGAACGCGTTTCTGTAGTTTTAAGTCACCCAGTTTGTATTTGTTACAACAGCCCTGGGCGACTAATATACCCACCAAAAGTCCTATTTTAACTCTGCTTAACAAACAAAAGCAAATGGAGTAGCAAAAATGGCAGTGAAGGAGTGATTTTTTTAATCTTCTCAATCTCCAAACACAGAGCAATTAGGATAGCACAACCAAACCTCACAGACAACATTTAGAACAAAACTAAATGACAGACTGCATCCCCAAACAGCACACCAGGAGTGGGTAGAGACAAGCAGCCCTGGCCCAGAGACCTGGTGGGGTACCAGCAAGTGTGAGAGAAGTGAGCAGAGCGAAGGGACTGCAAACCCCCATAAAAATACCAACAGCGGTTCACCCACAAAGGAGGGGGCTCCTCCTTTCAGAAGGCAGTGAGCACCCAGCAGGCCGCGGGGACCTGGGCAGAGTGGAAGAGCCACGCCCTGTGCCCGGCCAAAATGAACTGAGGCCCCTTCAGGAAAAAGCCCCGCATCGGGAAGGGACCACTGGAGCAGCGGCCACACCATGGCCCCACCCGAGCACAAGCACCGCCCAGCATGAGCAGTGGCCTCCTGTCTCATTCGAGTCTCCCTCGTTCCCAGCAAAACTGTGCCTTTGGGAAACTCATTTGGCAAAGACTAATCTAGCTGGCTTTGCTATTCTGGAACTGGTTTCAGGAAATTAAAACGGGGAGGCCTGAATTATATCCCCCAGAACTGTGGTTTTAAGACTGAATTCAGCCCCTGAAAAAAATTTCAATTTCAAACTTGATACAAAGAACTGACCTCGTTCCATTTGTGTTTGTCAACGAAGCCTGGTGGGGTCAGGCCACCGTGGAAGTGACTGAGCAGCGGGGCGGTGGAGACAAGTGCGCCCAGCAGTACTTGAATTGTGACTAGGAAAGCCACTATGCAATTATTCAATCCCTCCCTGGCCAGAACAGATGTTTTCTGTTTTGAAAGTGTATAAAACAAATCATCACTCCCGGTAAACGGCCTCAAGGCCAGGTTCAGCTGGCACATCACAAAACAGGACACAAACTCCCCATACTGGTGAAGAGGGCTGTGCAGGCAGGGTCACCCTGCGGATCACTGGCCAGGCTGTGCACCGACTGAGGGCCCTGGGGCTGAGCTGGAGCAAACTCTGTCCCCTGTGCAGGAAAAGGGGGTGTCTTTGTCTGATACACGCAAAGCCCTTGACTGCTGGCCAAGCCCAGTGTGGCAACCATCCCCTTTTTCTAACTGGCACAATTAGCAGAAAGGCACTGAGTGGGCTAATGGAGGCCCTCCAGCCAGGTTTCAAACTGAAGGAAAACAGATGACAAAAGAGATCCAGTTTAGTGCTCCCTTATTTCTATACTGTGGGCTTACCCCCCCAGCTCAGTAGAAATAGCCCGGGTCTGAATGATCCTTCTGGTTGCTGCCACCGCCCAGTCCCTGTGGCCAGAGTGTGCCGGCCCTGCCAGGGACATGGGGACCATGCTGTTTTGCCCACTGTTCACCTCACTTCATATTCACCTTCCTCCTGACCTGGGGGCTCCCCTGTCACCCAAGCTGCTCCCAGCCCTTGGAGAGGACTCCAGAAAGCAGAGCTGGAGCTGAAACAACTACCTAGCATCTCTTTTCCAGAACCAAGGTTTTAAGATGAAAACTGGAAACCAAAGAAATGAGATCCAGTAGCCTTAACAAGGTAGCTTCCTTGGTCATCTTGATCTCAAGTGCTCAATAAATGTTTTGCGGGTAAATGAAAATTTCATCTAGCTAAATTAATCATCCTTATTCCTGTATCTTTGCAGAGCTTCTGGAACACCTACACCAGTGGATTTCAATCCTAGACGTGCATTATAACCACCTGGGGAGTTATAAAACTTCTGATGCCACATCCTAGACCAATTAAAGAAAAATCTGGGGGTGGAACCCAGGCAACACTTTTTTAAAGCTCCCTGGGAAATTCAATGTGCAGCCACGTGTGAGAACCACTGATCTAAACCACTAGATAAAAAAAGAAAAAGAAACCCCCACTAACTCCAAGCTAACTACACTCCAGTCACCAAAAGGTTATAGAAAATATTCAACACAACAGGAGGCCTGAAAAAAGTCCAAACTCCCCGCTAGCTATAGCCACAGGTAACCCATGACAGGCCCCCAGAAAATGCTCTGCAATTAATTATCCAATTTCAACCTTTATGCCTGTCTAGTAAGGAGCACGTAACATGACCAAACAAAATGTGCTTGCTCTATCAGGGTTCCTCAACTTGGGTTGAAAATACAGTGTAAATGACTTTCCTGTCCCTCACAGGACTTTTGATAACCCCAGCCATACCCACTAAATACAAGAAGAGCCCCCCTTTGTTAAAAAAAAGACGCCACACCCCAATTTCCCAGGGGCAGAAGGGAGGTGGGTAATGCAATCCCTTGAGAACTGCTAGATGCTCTACACGTGAGCGAGCAGGAGCCTGGGGTCAGAACGCACCCAAATTTGGGAACACAAAACAGCGACGTCATAAGTGCCTAGGAATCAGAAAATATGAAAATAGATTCAATGCTAAAAGAGATATAAGTACACCGCTTTCAAGTAGACATGGTAATCCAAACTAGGCTAATAAAATGTTGCTTGGCACAAGTTCTTAGAAAACTCTGCCCAGGCAAGAATGATGTGCAACTAGTAAAGCACTCAGAGCCTTCCAAAGTGCTCAGAAACACAGAGACCTGTCCCAGGGCAAATGTGTCCTTTGTCCAATGGGCAACTCAGTGTCCTCGTTTCCAGACCACTGCCCACTTTGTGTGTGTTTATTCAACAATAACTTAAGAAGAATCAACTTGGAGGTCTAGTCCAAATTAAATATACCGCTATCAAAAGAAGACAAGGGAAGACAAGGTTTCATCTCCCTGCCTCATTTTGTCCCAGGGATCCATTTATAGGCCTCTCTTGGAGAATGAACCTCATTCCTCTGACCCTGGCCATCAGCTCCAGACGGCCGAATCCCCAATCTGTACATCCAGCTACAACGTGCCTCTCACCCAAATGCTCACCACACTGTCCCAATCTCAAATCTGGAATAAAATCCAGACTTCCCCACTCCTTCCCACCAATGGTTAATACCCCTGCCACTTAAGCTCCCCCTTAACGGTCCCCTGAAGCTTCTCCCACAAGTCCCCCACCACAGCCTCTCTGCACCACTCAAACTCACTGGCCTCACAGACCTCATTTCATCAAACATCAAATGGAGGCACCACTTCACAGGGTTCCTACAAGGAAGTCAGCACCAATGTTCGAGCCCTCCATCCCTCACAGTCAGGCACTGCCATTTAATCATTATCCATAAGGTGGGCAACCCTGTGGACATAAGTAGATTAGCTGTACCCCCCAACCTTACTAGCCCAAGTAGAAAAGAGAGTCCCCCCCAATAAAAACCTACGACACCAGGCGCCCTGCTTCAGTTAGATTCCCTCTTCTCCAGCTTCAAGAGGCTAAAATACTGTAATCTCCTTAACTAAGTGAATTCCATTAGAGAGGCTGCCCTCAGGAAATAAGCAATTCTCACACTTCCAGAAAAACTCCTGGACTCTCCACCTCATGACCGTGACTTGTGCCTTTAAGTCTTTTCCAACTTCAAACACTTCAACTAAGAACAATGTGCACATAAAGTATGAGGGCTTTAAGCTACACAAAGCCAAGTCTCTGCAGCTGCAGGGTCATCACCCTGCACCAGCTGTGGGCCAGAGCCAAACTAGTCCCCCCTCTGCAAAATTAGGTGGCGGCATTC